GTTTTATTTTACGCAAAACCTTAAGTGGAAGATGTGTACTATTTTCTACCGGTGGTGTCAACATGTCAACCGGCAATCTTAACGAGATATACATGAATTCCTGGGGAGATAGTAATTTGTGTGGACTGGTTCTTGTAATTGGCGTTGGTGGTAGCCTTTTATGCTTTCTAAATTTTGTTTCCCTATCTGTGACCTTATTTAAACAGAGAAAGAGGTGAGCCACCCACACTTTTTGATGCCTTTCAATAGTTGGAAGTTATCGACACTTTCAGTATTTTTTGAAACTTTGTTTCTCTTGCTGGCCGGAATTGGCATTGGAGTTGTGTGCTTGGGATTCAGACGCTTCTGTGATAATTCTTCTGGCTTGAATGAAACTATTTGTGGATCGAACCAAACAGTTATAAAAGTCGACGATCGGCCTGTAAATGTGGGATATATTCATAAAGTGTTATACTCAGTTCAGGTATGTATTTTTTGATTTTTAAAAGCAATTTCTTTTGATGCTCGAGTTTGTCAAAATTCCAGGGCATTTTTATCGATCCAACAATATCTGGTTAAGTAAACAATCTATTGCTTCCATTTATGTAAGCCAACGTCACTCTGCGTTAGCACTGAAATAAATGGGACCTTATTGTACATAGCCCTCATAGCCCTCTATGTGTAAAACGGAACTTGGGGCACGTGTTTCAGAGAAATCTTTTTAAGTGTGATCGATCGAATATAAATTGCTAGCCCTGTGGCGTGTCACTCGAGTGGTGATCATCATTCTACGTCATGAGACGATAAATATGTCCGTTAATTTACTTTCTTCTGTCCTTCTTGAGACCGCGCTGTTCTGTTTTTGAAAAACGAAAAGAACACAGACACGAGCGTAGACATTTCTACGCGCGCTCCTAACCATGAACCCTTACACTTTGCCCCATTTTGCCGCCACTACATCCCGGAAAAGTAGTGGTCTTCGCTGTTTGTGTCGACAGAACTATCGATCCCCAAAATATGTGATATCTCTATAGCAACTCCACGACCAGCCTCCGTTCCTCGAGCACCTTGCCTTGATCCAGTCTTCCCTCCAACAGGAATGGAAGCTAGTTGGGCTGGCCCTACGGTCTCCTCCGCATTGACGTGCAAACGATGCGTATCCAAAATATCCAAATGCCTTAACATTTAAGTTCAGGAGTGTAACCAGAGACCGTGACTGATATTATGATGTCTGGCTTGGTCAATGTAGCGAACCGGAACATATGTAGAATGCACACGATGAATCAGGAAGTTTGGTCATCCACCTTGTCCCGATTTATCTCAGTCTCTTGGGAGAGACAACGAGTTCAGTACTGGCAACCATTGTCCACAGTACGTAAACCCAGACCCAACTAATGGACACTCCAACCACCTTCAGTAATGGATCGACGAAAAAACCTCTATGCCTCTCTGTTGATACCCGATACGATGATACCGAGATGCAAAGCCCGTATTATGTCACGATATCGTAGATTATTTCAACTGAAAACCTTTCCAACTGGTAGTTTCTTATTTTTGCCTTTTATTTTGTTGCCATATGAAATAACAGCTGACAGCAACTGTCAACTTTCACTCGGAAGTTGCACGGTTAACAAAAGCAGAATGTTGCCACTATCGAATAAGGTCAGGTCTACTAGGAAGATAAAGCTTGGAATTTTGTTAACAGCAACCCCAATTCTTGATTGCATACTTTCTTTGGGTGATTTTATTCCTCGTCCTGACCAATTTCGTGCGTAAGGTAATTTGCACTTACTAGTTAGTTTGTGACTAAAGAGGCCCTTTTTACATTTCCATAGTTCTAGAATTCTTCAGCTACATGAATGTCGGGGAAATCGCATGTCATGATCCGGAAGTAACCTATGCGTCCGACGGTTCTTTTTGAGTGTCTTCGATCGACTGCTAGTGGCTGTTTTTTGCCAAAAAATTTGTGAACAAAGTTGTTGACGTTGCACTTTGCAGGCAGTAAGGTTCAGTCAAATGAGCAATTGTCCTCTGATGGGTTGCGAACTGAACCGGAGTCGTTATAATTCAAGTTTATGCTTTTTTATTTAATCTTTAAGGTGTGCCTCTGGTTATTCCTGCTTTCCTTGCTGGGAGAAATGTTCTGCAGCATATACCGTTTGCTTGTCTCCGCCGGAAAAGTCAGCTATCAGAAGACTCTGGTCGTTGACGGTGACCGCTCAATTTCGAATCTGTATGCTTATTCTCGATTGGTGTCCACCTAGAAAAATCCCCTAAACCGACTTTCCAGACCATTTGTGAAACAAAACTACCGACTACTGTAAAAAACCCTGAGGATTCGGGTTTTGAAGTGAAGTATCTGTAAATACGTTGTTTTGTCCTTTCACCACATTTTGATGAAAGGCGTAATTTTTTATAAATTCCAACAAAACAGATGTTTTTGCTCAGGGCCGCTGCGTCGAACTCCTTCAGCCTTCAGTGGTCTGCGGAGCCAGGGTCCTCTTCCTGCATTCACTGAAATCTTGTAGCCCAGAGTTTTTACCGGGAAACCTGGAGACTCGAGGAAGTCACTACGTCGTCCTGCACCTGTCCTGACCAGCCAGTGGCTTCAGACATCAACGCGGTGGAAACGTCTGCATAATAAATTAAGTAGTATAAGCAGTATAAACGGCCATGAGAAGCCTCCCAGAGGAGGAGATAGATCTTACGAAAATCTAACTGTGCTCTTAGAATTAAAGGACTGGCCGTCCGAACTGCTAACACCGACAATTGACCTTCCATCTGTTGAGACTATCACACAACTCTCAGTTGACTAATGTCCAAAATAAGTATCTAGGGGCTGTTAGGTCGCCGACTGCATCCTGTTATTTATATGAGCTGTTAAACTCCATCGTCAGAGGTAACTAGAAGGCAGATCGGCAAAAGTGTGTGCCACTTTGGCGTCCCGCAGTTGCCAACTGCGTATCCCCTCGCCTATAAACGGGGTCGCAAAACCGCAAAGATTGTTGGATTGATGCACATCACTAGGCCGATTTGTAGGTCCCAGGCACTTCTCGGCACGTTTGTTTTCTGTTCTTAACATTCAGAAAGCCAAACTTATGACCAGCCTGCGGGAGGTGCGAGCACTTTTAAGGATGAGTCACTCGTATGTGCTGGCGCACTCGTGACTGGAGCTTTCGTGCCGTCTGACCTGTCTAACTGCGAGGGCTTGTGCGACAGGGAATCTGATAAGCCAGACCAGATTGTTCAACGGTGCTTAGGTAGCCTTTTAAATACTAGTTTACGGCTGATGGGTCATCGTAACACCTTCCAAAGCAGCACTTCCTGTTGTGCTTACTTTTCCGAGCGCCAGAAAGTGCCATTTGCTTAATGGGCTTCTTACTTGAGTTCCCTTGTGACGTAAAGTGCTTACTAGGATTTTTAAAACTGGGTACTGTTTTAGTCGGATTATATGTTTTTCGGGTCCCATGCGCCATAGTACACAAGTTATCACGGATACATCTAGAGCGAATGATATTCCTTACGACCAACGCCAGAAGCTCTGGGTATGCATATGGAAACTTTGATATTTGTAACTTTTAAGTATATATCTTTCCTAGCAGAAGATAATGCCGGACAAAATGCTTTCGATACTCAATCCTTTTGTTCGTGTCTTTACCTACCAGCCCACAAAAGTCTTTCTGCCTAAGTTGGCCTTTAATTTGACTTATTCTTACGTCCTCAGTTGCTTTTTACGCTGAAAATGGTCTCCCGTTGAAACGTGGCCTTATCATCATACAGAACACGCATTTTCTCACGCGGAAGTGGAGGGGCGTGATCCCGTTTCTCTTAGCTCCCCAGATTGAGTACGAATTTTGCTCTTTAAAACGTGCATTTTTAGTTAATGGCTGAATCAGTTAGCTGAAGGACGCAAGAATTAGCATTTCAGAATGCACGTAAATAGTCGCTACTTTTGAGAGCGAACCAGTGATTTTGGCAGTTCAACGTCGCTGTGGAAGGTAAGCGGTCAAAGTTTGCCAAACTGGATGCGCAAGGATAGTCTGAACTCATTTGGAATCCGGCAGCATAGCAACATTACATCCACCGCCAAATCTCAAGGACCCGGTTAAACCCAAGTATCTCCGCATGCACTTGTCTGAACTAGGACAGGAATGTCAGGCTCCAGTCTAGACTGTCCTCTACGTCCTCACATATCTCAGAGATATAAGTAAAAGCAGAATCACCTATAGACTGAAAATTGGTTATCCAACTTGGCGAGAGGTGTGCTCTGCCGTAGAACAGAATATTCCCCACAGTCTATTCCAGGGACCATTTCTGCACGAGTTCGGTTGCTGCTTAGTTTCGAAACACTTCATGCTACTTCTTCGCCAGCATGGGTCAAAATCGATGCGCAACCAATGTCGTTGTAGGCTCAGACCTGACATAGCGTGGGTCGAGTTCAGTCCACTTACATGTGTGGGGAGGGACCGAACCCAGGTGTTCCACAAGGCCAATGCGAGTTCTCTGTATGTGTCCGCAGCACGCCTAGGTCGGAGGGGGTCATTATAGGACTACGAAGATTGTCCTATTAGTCAACCATCAGGAAAGGTCACCGTTTACTGGCATGCTCTTGGGTTAGACAAGAGTTTAGCTGACATAAAACCGCCACAAGCAGACCCGTGTTATGTTGCGGTAAACTCTTTTGACTCCTGTAGGGCCAGACACTGAATACAGTATTGACCGACGGATACTGATATGAGAATTTTCGGACGTCTTAAACATAGCACATTTTGCTCGCTCCCCTAGCCTTTTCAAGAAAAAGTTTTTGTGCAGAAAATGTGTCCACGTAATTTTCCCAAGCAAAATGTTCATAAATTCGAACGAAAATGTACGTTGCGATATACTCGGGCAAGTTCCAATGCTAGTACCTGTCCTAGACTTCGGTTTCGCATCTGGGCGTGTTTTCCTTTGAGGGGACAGTACTTTGTCCTCGAGAATTATAATAAACAGAGCTTGCCGTACTTGAAAATTGATTTCTCGTCCGGTGTTTACCGGGCGAGACAGTCTGCTAAGAAAACTAGGCGTTTTATTAGATAAGCAAATCTGTGCGATTTGGTTCCCTAAAGTGCACTAATAACGCACAGAGTCAATCCCTCCTTTACATGGGTGGACATTGTTTTGCCGGTTGGAAAAGAGGGGGCTCACAGAACGGAACCCACTCGTTCCGTTGTGCCTTACGGCGTCTCTCTCGAGCCCAGTCAGCAACTTCACCGCGCGCATGATATAGGCAGAATGGTATTGCCGATAAAGACATGTCTCCCTTGTCTTTGTCGGTAATATAATTCTGCCAATATTATATTTATTGTCACAGGAAGGACCACCACCAAATAGTCATTTTCATTTTAGAACATTTGGGGCATTACTTTTCGCTGTATACTTTGTGTATACTATGGTAGGGGGCGATCACCGATCACTCTCACAGAATTCACTCATTCCGTTGTGCCTTACGGGCTCTCTCTTGAGCCCAACCAGCAGCCGCACAGCGGCGCATGATATATAGGCAGAATGGCATTACGACAAAGACAAGGGAGACTGGAATGGCCATTTCTGGCTTATTAGCCGTCGTCAGCCAGTCATACCCAACCCCGAAGTCTGGAACACCCGAGGCTCAAACTCCCGACCTGTTAGTTAGAAGTCCACGCCTCTAACCACTGGGAGAGGAGGCCGTTGCCTGTCGGTTTCGATCGGGAATATACAATGACCATTCCAGTGTCCCTTGTCTTTGTCGGTAATAACCTTCTGCCTATATCATGTGCCGCTATGCGGCTGCTAGTTGGGCTCGAGAGAGAGCCCGTAAAGCACAACGGAGCGAGTGAGTTCCGTAATAACGATCGGTGAGCGCCCCTACCAAAGACAAGTCTCCCTTGTCTTTGTCGGTAATATAATTCTGCAAAATTATATTTACTGTTCCAGAAAGGACTACCACCAAATAGCCATTTTCATTTTAGGACATATGGAGCATTACATTTCGCTGTATACTGGGGGTGACATCAGTTCCACCAAATCTGTATCTAATCTCTATCTTCCTCAACGCTTTATGTATTTCGGCCCCTCTACACCCTAGGTACTATGCTAATACTGAACACTGGTATGGCTATTAACAGCAAGAGAAATAGCTGAAGCCATGACGCATCGAGTGAGAGGAATTCGCAGCAGTTAATTCAAGGTGAAGGGGATAGGCAACACCATCCAGAATTAGATCAGCAGATCTTTTGACAGTTGTGAGATGTCGTTGTACTATAATATCGACTGAAAAGACGTATGAATCCACGGCGGCAGAAGACAGTATTCGGAGGACGCATTTTAAGATGCGCATATCTTTTTTTAAGTACATCAGGAAAAGTAGCCAGGGGAATATTAAAAAATGAGAGGACGGATTCAGATATTTATAGGGCTAGAGATTAGGGGTTGAGATGTGGTATAGGAACGTAAACGACAAATGCAACAAACGAGTATACGAATTTTCGCGAAAAGGTTTTCAATGGGAACGGGGGATGAGAGCTTTGGGTGCAGAGAAAAACCAAGGCACCAGAAAGATGGTGCTTCGCTGGGAAGAATGCCAGAGGACTCTGAAACGAAAGAGGGTCCCATATGGAACACAAACTGGGCTGATTTCTGATGATGAAGTGGAAAACCATTCCCCAACGACCATACAGAAACATGATCCAAGCCATAGGGTGGCCAACATCCATACTGTAGGTGTGCTAACTCATGAAATGTTAATTGAAATTCTGAAATGCGTTCGCGTTTCGAAAAGATTGGTTTAGTAGGGTTTTAAACTTAATCATCGTGCAGCATATTTCTACAATAATTTCGTTACCACGAGATGCCGGCCTTCGAACGAATTTCGAGCCGCATGTGAAAACCACACTGTGTAAAAAATGACTGCATAAATAGCATGGATTTTCAAATTGATTTTCGATGTCCCTAAAATTCAGTTATATTTCATGGAAAACACGCATGAAACTATTCGTTCTTTTGCTCATTCGGTAGGAAATTACGCCTTCTTCCAATTTTATACTCGAAGGAAGGGTATAATTCGGTTCTAAAAATTTTCTAATTGTGAGATTTTTTAATACCGTGAAATGGCCGTTCATAAAACGTCATGTCTCCGTTTTTACCAATGTTGTTTGTAAAGTAAGTAATATGGCCCAAATCCACTGATAAATTTTATGCACTCCACATGGCTTCCTCTTAATACCGTAGAGAAATGTATGGTTCTCCGTACGCGGAGAATATACGGCTTGTAGTTTGAAACCCCTGAATGCAAATGTAACGGCAGGTCGAGTTAAAAATTATTCGGGCATTGGAAAAGTTTGTGAAAAC